GCTCCATGTGTAGTGTTAGCTATTTATTTAGGCACTAGTTTTGTTTTCCTTGTTACTTTTGATATTATGTGCTTCAGTTTATCTTTGAAGCTCTCAGAAACCATTTTCCCCATTTGTGCCTATTTTATTGCATCTAGTGTCACCATGGTTATATCTATACCAACAATTCTGTTGCTATGGATACTACAGATTCTCCTGAATTAAAAATCTTATGTTTAATAATAAATGTAGCCTGTTTAGCAGTTATTCTACTGAGTAGTAATATCATGGCAATATGCCCCTTTATTACTAAAGAGGTATAGGGGTAGAAACTATTTGAATACCCATATCTAAAGGTTATTAATGACATTTGATGATTTTCACAATGCTTAACTGATATTCCCCACTCCACATTTCAGAGTAGAGGAGAGTTTCGTCCCAGACTATATTCAAACTGCTAAATTGTTTGAAGTTTGAATTATTTTTCATGGGAAAGGGAAGTGATAGGAAATGACCAGACAGATCCACTTTTTTTTTTTTTTTTTTTTGAGACAGAGTCTCGCTTTGTTGCCCAGGCTAGAGTGAGTGCCGTGGCGTCAGCCTAGCTCACAGCAACCTCAAACTCCTGGGCTCAAGCAATCCTACTGCCTCAGCCTCCCGAGTAGCTGGGATTACAGGCATGTGCCACCATGCCTGGCTAATTTTTTATATATATATCAGTTGGCCAATTAATTTCTTTCTATTTATAGTAGAGACGGGGTCTTGCTCAGGCTGGTTTTGAACTCCTGACCTCGAGCAATCCGCCCACCTCGGCCTCCCAGAGAGCTAGGATTACAGGCGTGAGCCACCGCGCTCGGCCTATTAGACAGTTTTGAAGCCTTAACAATTCTCCTGTGAACTGTCAGACCTACCAGTCAAGTTCAAATATAGGGATGATGGTCTTTCACAAGGCAACAAAGTACGTGGTAGTTTGTAGCATGTGTCTCTTTTAAAGCCTGTTCAGTGTTTTCATGCTAATAGCTCTCATAGAAGAGCTCGTCTCTGCTCCCCATATCAACATATTTTGAAGGTATGTCAAATATTTGCATAGTAAGGAAATAGAACTGTATGTGCTTTGAAACTGGCAAAATATTTTCCTTTTTATGACATTTTTCTTTCAATTATATGTTCATGAAATGCGTTCATGGAATATTATTGCTGTGGTACAAATAATGACTTCTCTGTATCTCTCATACCCTGCAAGGGTGAGCTTTCATTTTAGGTGTGTCTGTATCTTAGCAGTATGATATATCAAGCCTATTCAAATAATGATCTGTATTAAAAAGTATAGAGGTTTTTTTTTATATATATATATCATTTAACATCCACAAATGTGCATCTCTCAGTAATCAGTTTATTAGTATAATTATAAACTAGAAATTTTGATGGCAAAAATATTCTAAAACAACACTCCTCTGAGAGGGGAAAATATTGATACTTTGTTTAGCATTGTTCATAAAAGTACTCATGTTTATCCATGAGTACTCAATTATAATCCATAATTATAATTATACTCAATATAATCCATTGATTATATTAGTCTTAAAATAATTCTAAGTTCTCTTGCTCAAATCAATCATTGATCTGCAGTCAGACCAGTAGCTTATAAGTCTTTGGTATTAATAGTATAGAAGTATAGTTTAGAAGATGGTTCTGAACTAATACTCCAGAGTAATGCCAAGAGAAAAAATGTGGTTCTATTTCTGGATATATTGACTAGTTTTCTTATAGCAGTTTTACTCTAAAATTCAGAGTTCTAAAGCTACATGTCTAAAAGGAGTAAATAACTGCTGCTTGTTCTCCTGGTGTTGGAAAATAATATTAACCATATATGGTGATCTGTGAGATTGGAGTGAAGGTTTTGTCCTGCATTAATTTTATTAACAAACATTGTAGAAGATGTAGAGGACATTTTTTTTTAATTTTTAAATTTTTTAAATTATTTTTATTTCTTTTTCTTTGCCAGAGATCTGTTATGTAGTGAATGTAGAGGACATCTTGACATGCAAGAGTGAAATGCATCTCTTATAATGTTAATTGTACAATGCTTTTTCTAAATATTTAAATTTCTTTGGTTGCCATGTTCATGTACTCTGGAGAAGAAAAATTTCTTAAATAGACTGATGACTAGGGAGAACCTAAAACTACTAAGAGAAACATAAAATGTGGTTAGTTATCTATGCTCATGGTTTATTAAAATCTGAGTTAACCTTAATGGTGCTATACCACCTTCCAAAGAAAATGCCCTTAGGTAGCCCTACCTTACTTCTTAGAACCTTGCTTATTTTACTTTTGTATATTTAATAAAAACTGTCTCAAATGTTTCCTTGTGTAGTTTATGGATAATGGTTAAGTCTGTGTGTCAATGTCAAATGTTGCTAACTCTGGCTTACCTCTCTGATCAGGACTCTAGATTGTCCCTCTGCTGTCTTCCCCACCGCCCCCCCAATTGTGTTGGGGTATATCACACAGGTTAGGTAGGGAAAATACTTTTCCTGGAATGTTGGAATTATGTTATTCAACTCAATAATTATTAATATTTCAGTAGTTACATCTCACATTTCTGTTATGGAGTAATTGATATTTTCCCTCATACTTAGTATTAAAGTAGTTTAGTCAAACATTTTAAGCATAGAAGGCTTAATTGGCACTTACAGAAATTGAGATATGCATGCACTTTGAAAATTCAGTTGACTATAAAAGGATTTGATTAATCTATGCCAATATTTTTTCTCCATTTTCCTAAGTATTCATGAATAAGCTATATATTGGGTGAAAGTTAATACAGATATTCTTTGGATTATGTTGGGTTATAAACCCATCATAAATTGAAAATGCATTTAATACACTTAATCTACCAAATATAGCCTAGCCTATCAGCCTAATTTAAATGGGCTAAGAGCACTTACATTAGGCTACAGTTGGGCAAAATCATTTAATACAAAGCCTATTTTATAATAAAGTGTTGAATATCTCGTGAAATTTATTGAATACTATACTGAAAGTGGGAAAAAATGTATGGGTACTTGAACTATAGTTTCTACTGAATGCCTATCACATTCACACTGTCATAAAGTCAAAATATTCTAAGTTGAATTACTGTAAGTTGGGGACTGTATAGGATTTGCTAATGTCAATTTTAATGACTATCTAAGGTTTCATTGTGATTTTAGATTGTATTTAGTTGTAATGCCAAAATCACAGAGAAGGCCAGTTATTGCAGTGTGTGCTTTAAAAAAATAACTTTCTTGCTATAATGTTGGGCATTATACAAGAAAAGAAATCCTTAGGTTAAACATTTAGATACTGGTGGGATATGTGATGCTCCTCTTTTCCTCAGTATCTTCATAGACTCTTAAGTTCTAGAAGCAGTGTGTATATAAAAGTAGTCAGCTTTCCTTATCCACAGGTTCCTCATCCATGGATTCAGCTGAACTTGGATTAAAAATATTTGGGAAAAAACCCAAAGTACAAAGGAAAATGATACTATATACCAACTGTTTACAAATCCTTTACATTGCATTAGGTAATATAAGTGATCTAGAAATTATTTAAATTATATGGGACAATACACATAGGTTATATATAAATATACCATCTTATATAAGGGACCTGAACATCCATGGATTTTAGTATCCACTGTGGGTGGGGGCTCTGGAACTAATCCTGTGAGGATTCCAAGGGATGACTGTATTAAAATATTGACTTTTATATCACAGTACATACTGGTGCTCTGGTCTGAAGTTCCCAAACAGCACTGGTAATCATTTTGGTGTATTCCCTAATGAAAGTAATTCATTGTCAGCGAGAAGAGTATGAGACAAAATAAGGCTTTTGGTCATTATATGATTATTTAAAAACTAAATTGTGATGTGGTAAAACTTTGTCCTTTGTGGAAGTACCTATGGGTCTGCAACCTGGTGGTAATAGCCAAATGACCCAATGTTCAAATGTGTGAATACCAGTAGCCAAGAGAGCCACGGGACTACTGTGTGCTGTACTGACACCACTGATGTCTGTTAAAACAGATAGATGGCTTTGACTCATTGTGTAATCCTTGTCTCCAGCCCAAATGGCTGCTTTGGGTAGCTGCAAGTTGAATTTAAACAAAAAGATAGGTTCAATAGTATAGGGTGAGGTGAAGGAGTATGAAAATTAGACATTGTTAATCTGTAGCTAAATACTCTATAAATGTGAAAGAGGGATTAAATTCATTCTTTGTAGTTCCTAAGGTGGAAAAAAGTAGAGCAGGAGTCTGAACAAATAAATTCTTCATCTCTGAAAATGTTCCAGCATATTTTGAATAAAGACATGTGGTATTGGGAGGGAGGTGACCAGAAGGCTCGGGATCATTTACAATTCTGTAGTCTATGAAGTGAAAAACAGTGGAAGAGGGCTAACGCAGTAGCTCATGCCTGTAATTCTAGCACTCTGAGAGACCAAGGCAGGGGGATTGCTCGAGGTCAGGAGTTGGAGACCAGCCTGAGCAAGAGTCAGATGCCATCTCTACAAAAAAAAAAAAAGAAAAAAAAGAAAAGAAAAATTAGCTGGATGTGGTGGTACACAACTGTAGCTCCAGCTACTGGGGAGGCTGAGGCATGAGGATTGCTTCAGCTCAGGAGTTTGAGATTGCTGTGAGCTATGATGATGCCACTGCACTCTAGCTGGGGCCACAGAATGAGACTCTGTCACAAAAAAAAGAAAAAGAAATTCCAGGAGGAATAGAGGGTGAAAGTTAAAAGTAAGCTTGAGTACTCATACTAATTTTCTACTTAGGTCAAATGCCATATGGTAGTTAAAAAATAGTGAAATGAAGTAAAAGTGTGGTAAAGATATTAAAAAAATAATGCAAATATTTTTTCCATATGCTTTTTTTTTAGCATTACCTTCAGGTAAAATATACCAAAGCAGCCAGTGCCTTTCTAAAAGGAAAATTGTATACTGATTTTCCCTCTGCCATGAGATGAAAGAGACACAATGAATTTTGTCAATAAAAGCTTTAGGTATATCTGCACATATACATTTACGTTCAAGTTGATAACACTAGTAATTTCATTTCAATACAGATTATGCTAGAGAACTGTTAAATTTCAGACATGGTCATATATATGCTGTTTGAACTTCTTTATCTTGATACAGATCTTGATAGTGAATCTCTTGATAACAGATGTGCAGCTAGTTTGTCCCGAAACTCATGTAGGTAATTGTATTGCTGAAAAAAGTAAAGATATGTTGAAATACATTATAGAAAACTGTTACTAGAGTAGACACCAAGACTAGTAGGAATCAAAAAAATATTTGCTAAGAATTTTACTTCTTTTTGGGTAAGGAAGCATTTGTGCCATGGTTAAGTTTTATCTTTCAATAAAGCTGCATACTGTGTGAAAAGCTATTACTTAAAAAATCTCTAAAAAGCAGAAGGTAGCATGAAATACAGAACAATATTTATGGCTGTAAAATCCTTTATCTCTTTACTTGTAGGACCAAATAACATTAATGGCATTATTTTTGCCAATTAAAAAAAAACCTGGAGAGTGAATATGGAGGAGAAGGCACTTCCTGTAGCAATTAACAGTGGTATATTCAAGAAAATCCATTTCTTAATTTATGGAAGCCCAAGTCATTTGCTTTTTTGATGCTATAATTCATTTGGAACAATTTTCATAGATAGTATTTTTTAAAAGCCCCAGTAACCTTAACAGAAAAGCAAAATGAAAGCCTTAAATAATTTATTTGGAGTTTTAATAGCTTTACAGAGGATACTGTTACTCTGCTAATCATCTCATTTCATATCCGTATTGAGTTGAAACTACACTAACTTACACTGGCATAGAGATGAAGCCTGTTTGATAAAGAATGCTGAGGTGATTAAACTGGCAGTCCATACTAATGTAGGCTTAATTCTCTCCAGTATTAAAGATGTAAAACATATGCATATTCATATATGTATTTGACCACACACCTTGTTTCAAAGAGAAGAGAGACTCAAACTTTTTGGATTTGCAGCAGCATTTGATTTTAACACTAAGGGGAGTTCTTTGTTTTCAGAATCTACAGGGAAGTGGATTGTGTATGGATTATCTTGTGACTTACCTTATTTAAGCCCTAGGAATCAGGTTGCTTTGGTGAATTTGTCAGTAATTATAAAATTTGCTATACATGACACTGGATTCGACCTTTAACCCTGGGAAGATGGACTCTTAAGCCCAAGGTGCTGCCTAATAGCTAGGATTCTTTAGTATTCACTCATGATGAATGGGTACTAATGCTGAGACAGGGTGTGTGGGAAGGGAAGCCAAATTAGCTTCATAGATCTACAGATAAAGTAAAATCTGCTGAATCTTTTCAGTAAGATGATTAATATATAATAATATCTTTGGCATTGCTACTGCAGTGATTTTGAAGTGTTAGGAGAATGTAAATGTGGAAAATGTCACTTTAGTTATCCACAGCAAAGGATAATTAGCACCACTTTATATTTTTTGTATTATAGTCATTTGTCTATCTTTATTATATGTTTTGGTGATACAATAGGGTCTTCCTTAGATCTTTTTGGTTATGAATTTACTTAAGAAACTACCAAGTTTATTGTAACTGTCTCATTATTTCCAGTGAGAGAATTAAATATTTGTTTGCTTTTGCAGATATCTGCGTTATATTTAAAACATAAATTTAAAATATTAAAAGCATAAGTGACATTTGAATAACAGAGTGCTTTGGAATTTCATTTTACTGCCCTTTTGGTTGTGTATTCCACTGTAGTCCTAACGGTCTGCCCCTAACCACACCAGCAGGTACAACCTCCTTACCTTGATAGTCTGTATTGCCCCAGACCCTCTCACATCTCTCAGGCTGTCTATGGCTTGCTGTGGGGATACCATGTCAGACAGGTATAGAAGGAGACAAGCAGCTACTAATGGAACATGACAGAAAAATAATATATTATTAAATAATTAAAAGGGTAGAACATTTTTTGTTTAATTAGACGTCTGTTGATATAGAAGACTCAGTTTGGTATAATTGTTCCAATGAATTAAAAGACAGACTTTTAATGTACTTTTGAGAGTTAAATTATGATCCAAAATGACGGTGTGGTTGAATTAAAGTTTAACACTGGCATTCTTTATTTTTTTACTGCTTTATTGAGATATAATTCACATGCCATACAATTCGTCCATTTGATGTGTACAATTCAGTGATCTTTAGTATATTCAAAGATTTGTGCAACCATCACCAATTTTAGAACATTTTCATCACCTTAAAAATAAACACTGCACCCTTTTGCTGTCATCCCCCTAATATCCTATCAACCTCTGCCCTAGCAACCACTAATCTTCCTGCCTCTATAGATCTGCCTATTCTGGACATTTCATGTAGATGGAATCATACAATGTGGTCTTTTGTGACTGACTTCTTTCACTTAGCATAATGTGTTCAGGGTTCTTATGTATTGTAGCATGTATCCATACTTCCTTTTTATGATTAATATCCCATTGTATGGCTATACCACATTGTGCTTATCCATTCATCAGTTGATAGATATTTAGGCTGTTTCCATTTTTGGCTATTCTGATTAATGCTGTTATAAACATTTGTGTACAAGTTTTTGTGTGAATATGTTTTCATTTTTGGGGGGATATATACCTTGGAGTGGAATTGCTGGGTCATAGGGTAACTATGTTTAACTGTTAGAGGAACTACTGCCAGACTGTTTTCCAAAGCAGCTGCATCATTTGACATTCCCACTAGCGGTGTATGGGGGTTCCAATTTCTCCATGTCCTTGCCAACACTTATTTTTCATTTTTTTTTTTTAATAATAGCCATCCTAATGGGTGTCAAGTGGTATCTATTGTGGTTTGGACTTGCATTTCCAGATGGCTAATGATGTTGGGCATCTTTTCATGTGCTCATTGGCCATTTGTAAATTTTGTTTGGAGAAAGGTGTATTTAGGCCCTTTGCCCATTTTTAAATTGGGTTGTTTGTCTTTTATTCCTGAGTTGTAATCTGGATACAAGTCTGTTATCAAATATCTGGCTTGCAAATATTTTTTCCCTTTATAAATGGGTTGTCTTTCATTTGGATAGTGTCCTCTGGAAAACAAAGTTTTTAATTTTGATGCTGTCCAACACTAAAAGGAATAACTGTTACTCCAGTGTGGCATTTCATGAACTGTTTTTGTTTTTCCCAGCACATTTTAAATTTAACATATAGTAATTAACTTTGGTTTTCATACTTATGTTACCCATGGACATTATTAATATTTAGAAGTTACTGTCAGTATCATAACACCTACATAGAATATCAGAAAACATTAAAAAAAAGAAAGATGCAGGGGCTAAGACTTGTAAGTGATATTTTACAGAATCCTCCAAAGCAATGCTGAAAATCCCTCCCACTCCCATACAAGCTTTTTAGGGAATACCAAGTTTAGGGCCTTAAATAATCCTTTGAATCTTAGCAAACTTATATTGTGTTTTGTTTCATTTTAATGCCAAGTGAGCATATGGTCCAGAGACAGGAGTTTGCCTACTTTGAAGTTAAATTAATAATGAAAATATATTTCTTACCAAGACAAGATCTGCCAAGTCCTCCATAACAGCTGAAAGGGAAATACAGTTTTGAAGTTTGTCCATTTTCACTCCATTCCTAGTTACAACTAAAGACTTGCTGTTTCTGCATTTTATTTGTAACTCTAATAAATGCCTAGCACAGTGCCTCACAAACAAAGATTAGTAAATATATTTGAATTAATTAAGAGAAAAGTATGTTTATTTCTTTGTTGGGTCACTCTTAAGGGTCAAGGTAGGCAAGGTCTTTTCATTGACCTCTTTAGACCTCAAAATCCACGTGTGGAATAGAGCATGTTACTAAATAGATAGAAATCAGACTGTTTTTACCAGATGCCACTTTCATTATTTTCTCTGTCTAAACAAAATCTGATTATGGGCAAATGCTATTTATATTATAACCCTTCATTTATCTAAAATGAAGTAGCGTATCATAGAGGTCTAGAATATGGGCTCTGGAGTTCCACCACCTGACTTTGGGTCCTAGATCTGTCACTTACTAGATATGTAAAGTTAAGCAAGTTATTTCATCTATTTGGGGCTCAGCCTTTCACCTATAAAATGGTGATAACAATAGCACCTACATCATAATGAGGATTAAATGAGGTTCACTTACAAATGACTGAGCATATGTAAAGGGCTTGGAACAGAGCTTGGCACAGAGTAATTAGTAAATGAATGTTAGCTGCTATTTAGCATTGTGAAGAAATTATCAGTTTTGCACAATTGGATTTTCCAGAAAAATGAAGATTAACCCTGAGCAGCCAACCATTCATTTTAAGCATTTTCAAATATCCTAAAAAACATATTACATGCTTCCTAGCTTACTTAGAGGGTATACTGAACCTAATATAGTACAGATGACTTATCATGAACATATAGTATATAGTGTACTGTAAAGCTGTAGGTACATATCTTGCTACAGGATGTAAGACAGAAGACAAAATAGGCACCGACCTCTAGAGTTACTCATGAACTTGCTTTCTACAAAGTATCCCAGATGTAGTCCTGTTTTAGAGAGATCTGGATCTACCATATGAAGGTAGAGAACACTTCAGGGGCTTTCTGCAAGATTACTTTATACCTGCTTTATACCTCTTGCTGCTTTCATTTTTTCTCTTGTATTTGATGAATTCCTACTCTTTTAAAACCCAGCTCAAATTTCATTTCCTGAAATGCCTTTGTGCTCCTATAGAAATGACCACTGTTTTGTGTGCTGTCTCTTCTGCGTACACACCTTGTGCCAATCTGATTGCACTTACACGGTAGTGTTGCTGCGGGTTCCTTCAGGGTGGGGACTGTGCCTCATTTTGTAGTCCTGGTGTTTGGCACATGACAGTTGTTATAGGTTAAATTATGTGTCCCCCCCATAAGTGCTTAAGTACTTATCCCCAGTACTTATGAATGTAACCTTATTCGGAAATAGGGTCTTTGCGGATATACTTAAGTTAAGATGAATTAGGGGAGGCCCTACTCCTATATGACCAGTGTCCTCACAATATGAAAACGCCATATGAAGACAGACACGCAGAGAATCATTTGATAACAGAGGCAGAGGTTGGAGTGATGCAGCTACAAACCAAGGAATGCCAAGGATGGACAGCTACCACCAGAAGCTAGGAAGGGGCAAGGAAGGACCCTGCTCAGAGCCTCAGACGGAACGTGCCCCTGCTGACACCATGATTTTGGACTTTTAGCCTCCTGAACTAGGGAGAGAATACATTTCTATTCTTTTAAGCTACCCAGTTTGTGGTGCTTTGTTATAATAGTCAAGGAAACTGTGTAATACACTGAGCAAGCAATGTTCGCTGATTTTATAAAGCGCTGAAAATGCACAAGCAGAACCAGCGAGACAGCAGTGGTAGACAACAGCGCAGTGAAAAAATGTACCAGCCCCTGTTTCTGAGGAATGAGCTCTACAGCTGTCTAGCAATGTGGATCCTCAAACTTGGCAGAATGGATAGAGAATTGTCTTTATCCAACAAACGAGTCTCTGTAGGACACTTTTGAAAGCTCTAGACAATGAAAACTTCCAGTCATCAGATGCTTTATTTTATGGGAGCCTGAACATATGCAAGGACATCCATCTACCTGTCTACCCTATTTGTACTCTGTGCCAACATTGGAGCATTTGGTTTGCCAGAACCTGCTGGAGTAGAATGTGTTAAGCTTCACTTCACTAAAATGAGCTAGTTTGAGCACTGGAAAATTTTAGGAGAGGCTGCTTTCAAAAATTTACTGAAAAAAAATATCAGAAATGGTTTGAAAAATGGGTCCTCAAATTGGAATGTATTTTTCCTTAGCTATATCCATCCAATAGCATTTTACCTATACTTACCAGGAAATTGAGCATAGACAACTATATCTATTCTGAAATATTGTTTCACAATTAGTACCTGATGAGAGATTATGCTTTTCACTAGAGAAAGTTTGGAAACTATAGGATATAGGATGGCTTCTAGTTCTTTACTGCATATTCTGCAAACTACAGTTCTCTGTATATCAGTTTAGTTTGGCCACAAACAGGTTTGTGTCCCCAAAGACCCTTGTACTAGTTGGTTTGTCTTCAGAACTGTCATTGTTGGCATCAGGCCCCCCTTGGCTACAGGTTTAAGGAGACAAGCTGGGCTTGCCCTTTCCCTAGAGCCCTGAGACCACACGGCTATTTGGTATAGTTTATATACTTCTAGCTCAAAGCAGTGACCTTAAGGCTTTTGAAGTATCAAACTATTTAATACCTTACCTTGTTCCAGAGAGGATTAAGCAGCTTATTAGGATATAAAATGCACAGTAAGCACAGTGAAGGACTAGATTTCTCGCTGTGGCTGGCTCTCCTTTGAGCATCTACTGTTTATCCACAGCACCACTTCTAAACTTGGCCATGCTACCATCTTCTGCCCATTGCAGCTCTCATCTTCCTTTCTCCAAGCTACTTTCTTCTTGCTTCATTTTCCCCCTTTCCTTAACCCATTTTATTTTGTTTTAAACTTTCCTACCAGCAGCTTGTATTTTTACAGTCCTTGACAAACGAGTCCCTTTTTCATTGTGGTAGCAAATTCATATCATCAAATGTAATTTTTCAAGTCATATTTTTAAGATTGCTCATTGCTTACAGATGACTTTTTTGCTAATTTTGAAAAATTGATTTTCTTGCTATTGAAAGCAAGCAAGCAATTTGACAGGCTGACCAATAAATGTGGTGTTATAGTAGAACAAGAATGATGCCCTGTCTTTTTTTTGGTGGTGGTGGTAGGGAGGATCCCAATATTGCAACTAAAGTTCTAAGAAAAAAAGAAAGGGAAAAAAAAAAATCTGTAACTTGGTTCTGAAAATTTCCAGATCTACTCAGTTATTGTCCTTACTCTTGAAAAATAATAACAGGAAATATTTGGGGGCTTCCTCTGTATCAGACATTGTGTTAGTACTTTTCATGCATTATCTCCTTTTAATCCTTGCAACAAACTATGAGGTAGGTAATAATGAATAGGGTTGCAATAATTCAAGAAATCATTTTGACTGGGACACTTTTCATCTAGCATATGGAGAAAAGGAGAACGTACTGTATTAAGGTTTTTCGGTTATTTTTAAGGCAGATTGCAAGTTCTTCCATTATTTCACAGCAGCTGGCTATGTCAGGAGTCCCTCCATCTGGGATTGGGTGATGATGAGTGGTAATTCCATACTGCTGGTAGAAGTCCAAAAGGTTTGGGACTCTGTATTTTGACAGTTCCCCTCTGGTGCAGAAAACAAATATGTCTTGTATACCATAGCTCTTTAGTTCTTCTGCCAATAGACCAAGATACACACAGACACACACAGAAAACATTACAAATTTAAATACAGTCAAGAGGGTGAATATGGATTTACGTTTCTTAAGCCAAACTAATAACAAATGATAATCTATAAATTTGATGTGTCCATTGACAACATCTGAATCAAAAGGTGATTAGAATTAAACCTGACTTTATAAATCAAAGTGATTATTAAGGAATGAATTTCAAGATGAGTCAATTGCTCTTCTTGCAAAAAAAAAAAAAAAATCAAAAAACAAAAAATGTGAGACAGAGTCTTGTTCTATCATCCAGGCTAGAGTGCAGTGGTATCATAATAGCTCACTGCAGCCTCAAACTCCTGAGCTCAAGTGATTCTCCTGCCTTGGCCTTCTAGAGTGGTAGGATTACAGGCATGAGCCACAGTGCCTGGCTGCAAAATTTTTTTTTGCGATAAATACTGCTTTAAAATAAATTTAAGTACACTATTTAAAAATAAACCCTTCAGAAGGAATAATAGCACATTTTTCTCTTTTTCTCACAAAATCAACCACATTTGCTACTTCATCACTTTGCTGTTTGTTTTACCCTAAGTGTTGTATTAATATAAAAATCTCCAGCATGGCCCTGGTGCCAGAACTCTTGTATTCATCCTTATATCTGCACTGTACCACACCATTGTGTATTTAATTTCATGAACTAGATCTCTAGAAAATAAAGTACTAACTGTATTAAACTTATGTAACTTAGCTATTTTCACCATAATGATACGAACCAAGAAATATTACTATAGGCATTTGATATACTGGAACATCTTTATGGCAATATTCACTACAGAGTATTTGGTTCAAAATAAATAATTCTGGCTGATCTAAGGCCCCACCCCCCTCCCTGCCCCTAAGTCCAAGGACATTTAGGTATTTAAGTACAAAGTGTTAGTCTCATGAAGCTACTCCAAATTTGAGATGTACTGTAAGTGTAAAATATACCTGATGTCAAAGACGAAGCAAAATATCTCAATAATTAGTTTTATACTTAAAACCTATTGAAATGATAATATTTAGGATATCTTAGTTTAAATAAGTTTAAATAAAATATATTATTAAAATTAATTTCACCTGTTTTTACATTTTTACTGTTGCTGCAGATAGAAAATGGTTACATATATGGCTTCCATTTGTGGCTCTCATTTTATTTCTATTGGACAGTACTGCTCTAGATCAAACTATTATCGTTTTGTACTTGTAAAAGAATTTAACCTATAGTTAACATACCTAACCATTTTTAAGAGAATAGGCAATTTTCTATTTGCCTCTTGTACACATTTTATAATTTTTATTATATAGTGGTTTCCAAAATTTCCTAGAAAGAACTGAGGAGGTACCACAGGAACTGCAGCAGCGAGATTCTAGGTCTTCCCCCATCAAACATTTTGGTCTGTTTTATATATTGGATTCTATTTAATATTTCATTACAGAAAAAAAGTTTTTGAGAAAAATTGTAAACCCCTTCAATATAAGATACTAAATGAATATAGCATTCTAAATATACAAGATTGATCTTGAACCAATGATTTAAATTACATATAATTTGCTTATGATTTAAATGTTGTCCAAATGGGAATTTCCTACCATGGTGGGTGTATCTAATGCAGAAAATCTTTATAAATACTGCAAGGGTCAACTAATGTATTAGCCTCTTTAAGTCTTTTTTGGTAGGTGAGGAATAAATTCTAAAAGGTACTTTAGCAAACTGACATTCTAGAATAACCAGGAAAAGACTTTAAGATTTAAAAAATCTGTACTGGTCAGATCAAGCAATATAGACATTTTTGTGTATTATAAGGATATTGGTAGGACTAGTAGGCCTGAGATACTCCAGGCCAAACAGAATAACATTTTGAAAATCCACATTTGTTAGTATCATGCAATATATAAATTCCAAATTGGAGTTAATTAGCAGTATTATTAGACTTGAGGCTATAATGGTTTGAACATCCTTGGGCATGCGATAAATCAGTTCCTACTCTGTCTTTCCCACCTAGATGCTGGCTCTCTACATTTTCTATCTAGGATGGAAATTTCACTGCATCCTTGAGGTTCTCAGCTCAGGCTTAATTTCTACTACCACAGTTGGGGCTGTAAGGAATGGTATGTTCAAAGCCATGGGAAGTGCAATATGTCAGTTTTCTATTTACATACTTTTCTCACTCTAATCTAAAATGCAGTTTAATAGAACTACAATAATCAGTGAAAAACAATGCCATGTTTAGGTAAATGATGAGTTCTTGGTGCCCTTCACAAATATCTCTTCACACATTAGAATAAATCTCTAGTTGGAAACTTTATAAAATATTGAACATTTATTGGTATATTGAAAAAAAGACTACAATCCTTTTGACAAAGAGATTTTCAGCATTATTTTTTTTTTTTTAAACCAATTAGTATGGTTGTCTCATATTATACCTACCTGTATCTTTTTGGATATTTCTTCTAATATCTTTAAATTTACAACCTATAAGTAGTAATAAGGCAAGTAAAATAGTCAGTTTTGGTCATATATAACAAGTATATTTAAACACTTATATAGCTATTTTAGAAAGTCATTCCACATATGTTTCAATTCCATTCTGAATGTGAATTTCAATTTCTTATATTTTTAGGAATATAATTATAGGGATACATCATAATCAAGGATTCTTTATTCATGTCCTTTCTGTAACATGTACCTGGCTTACTTGTTAGTAAGTAGTCCTCAGCTTCACTTGTACCCCAATGTTTTATTAAGATAGGTAAATCAGAACTGTAGAGCTGTGAATGCAGATCTGGGAAGGGTTGAAGAGTAGATCTATGTTCCTTTACCTCTAGCTCACCATGAGGGCTTCCAAAAGTGAGTTCTCTAGTGCTGATGGTCTATGCAATTCTCTTATTGCCCAGTGCAGAGAATGATGTGTTAGCTGACAAGAAAACTGCTCTAAATATATTGATAGGAAGCCAACTGTAGTGTTACCTACCTGGAAGAGCACATAAACCGAGAAACTGAGAACAATTCACTCGTGACAGAGGTAGCCTGAAAAGAAGAATAATTTATGAAGTTTAGTTAGGTTTTTAAAAAAGTTATAAATGGAAATTCAATCTAATCAACATGGGTGCTTGCCACTGAATCAGGATGTGTTAAGGTTTTATAGTAGTACCAAAACAAAAAAATTCATAGTTAAGATATCAATGTGTTGGTCACAGAAAGGGCCTAAAAAGACTGAAAAATTTAAAACAGGGACTTATTTGCTTTGTTACTATTTAAGTCTTTAAAATGGTAAGTTAATTTAAATTTACCTCTAAGATAATGATGCTTAGAGGGCCAAGAGGTAATACACAGTGTACTTAAGTTATTCTGTAGTATGTTACCTGAGATATTTTGTACTAGTAACCTTAGGAAAATAAACTGGAAAATGACCATCGGACAGTTTCATTCCCAGCATTTATTCTACATTACTATTTAAGATGTTTTTGGTAGGACTCTCTTAATAGATATAATTTTATATGATGAAAACCACAGGCTACCCATTCTTCGTAATAATGGATTTTGGTTAAAATGAAATAATTTCAAGAAACCATATTTCCAGTTGGCTGTCCTCCGGGACAGATGCTCACTTTGTCTGCAAGTCAAAAGATGAATTTAGAGGAAAAACAGAAGGCATAATACAAACACCACTTGACTTTGAAAATTAGATGAGTTTATGAGTTTAAAAGGGGATTTGAAGGGGAAATGAAAGGTAATGCTATTTGGTGGCAGGACAAAAGAACTTTAGGGGCAACACCACTTAGTATTCTTTCTCTCTTCTGACAGTAGGGAGAGTGCTTTCTTAAGGGGAAAGATTATTATAATTGCAGAAATGAGAGAAAGCATTTGATTGCTGGGTGTAGAGAATCTGGCATGACCATAAAGTCGCTTGTCAAAATTGGGAAGTTGATTTTATATAGAAACTTTTTTTTGTTATTGTATCTATGTGGCTTTTATCTTAAACAGAGTCTACTGATAAATGCATTACTGTTACAAGTATTTCTAAATATTGCCTAGGATTTGACTTACTGATAAGGGATGAAATATTCTTTTGTCATAGAAGAATAAGTAGATTTTGGTACTAAATGGTGGCTCATTTCAATCCTACATCTTCTCCTTACTAACTTGCTTCTACTAAGGTTTTCTCAATATATAAAGAAGGACCAAAAAAAAAAAAAAAAAAAAAGTCCTTATTCTGTATCATTGATAGTAAATGAATTGTGGAGTTAGAAGATCGCTTAAAGCTTAGAATTATATAATCAGCAAAAGAGATGCTATATTTTCAATATGTGGACTACATTCTATAATACTAAGATTACTATGTAATATCAAACATTTTAGCTCATCATTGATCAGAAATGCTAACATACCATGATATCTGAATTGGAGTCTGTTCATCTTCGATGGGCTCTTCGTCTGATGAGTCAAACTCACTTGGTTGTATTGAACTAGGCTTCAAAAGAAATGTTATGTTAAATAACTGTAAAATATATTTATATGTAGCTTTTGTATAGCTAATCCTTGCTTAAATACACACTAAACTCATATTTGCAATTTATTCAGTCAACAATCTGAATATGAGATCAGTCATATCAATAATAAATGATACCGTTTACCATCCTATTAATAATTACAGCACTGTACAGTAGAAAGAGAGTTAGATTAGGAACCAAGAAACCTGGCTTCTGGTCTTGGCTCTGCCATCTATTGTATAATCTCCAATAAACCACTTCAGTTTATTCTGGATCTCAGACTTCCTCAACTATAAAGTGAGGAGATTTATTCATTCACAAAAATTTCTTGGACACCTTCATTTGCCAAGCCAGTGGAGATGCAAACGATCCAAAAGATAAGCAGCCTGCCTATTTAAGATCTAAGTGCCAAAATAGAAGCAGGAACTATACACTGTGGGGCAGAGAAGAGTGACTGACCACTTATGGAGCTGGAGAAGGCTTCACAGAGGAGATGCTTTAGCTGGGTTTTGAAGGAAAAGCAGGAGGTTTTTAGGCAGATAGGGAAGAAGTTAAAGCAATTCAGGCAAAAGAAGAAATGGCTTGTGTATTCAGGAAGTGTGTTATTAAAGTAGAGATGGAGCAAAGGAAATGAAGCTAGAGAAGAAGTTTTAGCTTCATCTAAACTTTGCCCCATTTCTCAAAAAAACACCCCAATACAGCATGGTAGTTTGGTGGTGGTGGTGGGGATATAGGTGAACTAACCTTCCTCCCAACTTTTTGAATCACTGGACTAGAGAGATTGAGATGGACTTTGTATGCTGATCTAAGTTGAAACTCAATCACATAGGCAATATTTGTAGCTGGAAGACTTCTATATACTCTCTGCTAGAATTTTAAAGGACCAATTAAAAAACACACCCTTTTCCCACTCCCTACTTGGAACCACCTGAGATATAAGACATTGGCGGGGCAAATGAAGTTCAAAGTTTTAGTTTTATTATTGAGTGTCAAATGGAGTGGTGTAGCTTAAAGCTGTGGCCAAGACAGACTTGGCACCCAGTCACAGGCAGCAACGGACAACCCAGGTCTCCTGAGTGACAGAGAGTAGACCAGAAAGCACCTTCTGCAGGCAGGCAGGTAGATCTCAAGAGAGAAGGGAAGAAAAGGTTGAGCTGCTTGTGTTATGTTCTTTCCAAACTCCAGGATCAGATAACTCACTCTTGCCCTTTTGGGGACAGGTGGAGAGAGAGACCAGGAGTAAAGGACAGCTGAAAGTCCCTCTACATGGAAACATGGGGATTAGCAAGTGTAACCACCTAATGCCCTTTCTAGCGCTGAAGCTGTATTCTATAATGGTCTTGTTACTAGAAGATCACAAGACAGAACCAATTTAGGCTATGGATTTGAGTTGCTTTGGATCTATGGGAAGTAGTGTAATCAACTGAACCCCAAAGAAGGACCTTCAATAGGTTGTCAACCTGGTGGAAGGTAATGAGGTGAGGCGTCAGCTCCTTGCCTGCGCCTGTTTTTTTTCTGTCTTTTTCTTTAAGGCAGCTTTGATGATTCAAGAGTTTAAATGTGTGGGCCATTCCACTCAGCCTCTGCCAGCCAAGTTTAGAAATCCTAACAGAGCTGGGCGTTTCCGCTTCCCCAGGCCCAGTGCCTCTGAGCCTTAAGGAAAGGGACGCAGTGCCAGCTGGCCCTGGGGAATGGTGACAGTCGTGATGTCGCCCACAAGCCAGGGCGTGGCATTCATGCTCCTGGTTTCCCGCGTGGGCGCAGAGCAGCTCCCGGACATCCTTCAGGGTTGGGGTATCACCCCGACCGAAACGCTGAAACTTAAACTCTCTCTGCCTCAGTTTCCTCTGCATAGCGGGGCGCGGCCGTGTTTGGCAGGGCTGTTCAGAGGCTCATGAGACCCTGCAGGCGGCAGCCCCCAGCAGGCGCACCGCGAACGTCCGTCTTCCCCTCGTCCACCACCTGGTTCCGCGGGGTCTCGCTCAGTAGCAGCCGTCTCTCTTACCGGTGCGGGGAAGCGCCACCGCCCCGATCCGTCACAGGACGGTTACTGCGCAAGTCCTGCCGCGCGATCGGGCCCAGGCTGCCCGCTGGCCTCAGATCTGGCCTCCGGGACCGCTCCTGACCCTGCGGCTTCGCTCCTCTAAGCCCCCGCCCGCCCGACTCACCGGCTTCATCGCTGGCCGCCCCAGGTCGTGACCAGTGCCGCCTCCCTCCGCAGTGCCGGCGTCTCAGCCGCTGACCCACTCCTCGCCCACCCCTCCCCTCTGCTCATTGGTACATCCTTCCGTGAGGTGGGGCGCGGCGTCTTCTAGGAACCAATCGGATCCTCTCTCTGTTTCTTACTCCGCCTCCGGGTGCCCAGGCTCGGTCTCTAACTGCTCATTGGTTCCTAGAAGGCCTTTGAAAGACGCGCGTGAGGAGGGACTCTTGGGGCGTTGATTGGCTGGGAGGGCTCCCTCCTCACGCCAGTTGGGAGCGTGGGGGGGGGGGGGGGGCGTGAGCGCGGGAAGGGGGCGTGAGCGGTGCCGGGCCAAAGCGCTTTGGGACGCTGGAAAGCAGTGCTTTCGGATGTCAGAGTGGTAATAGAATAGTTTTTGTTTGCTTTCTTACAGTTTTTTATTTCATAAGGGCGTAGAGGAAGCACTGTACTGGAGCGTCATATGAAAAACAAACACATGACTTTGTAATTATGTCTAGTCATGCAAATACTGTGGAAAAGTAAAAATCCATAGTCTCCACATATTTTATATGCTTGACATTTTATGTTCTTTACCATTCCAGGATCTTGACAAGTTAGGGTGTAGATCAATCTTCTTGTTCACCAAATACGAATGAAATAATATCGTGTGAAAGGGACATAAAAAGATGCCAGATCAGTCTCCAGTGCCAATGTTTCTACACACTTAGCTATAATCTTTTAAAAATGTGTTTAATGATTCTCTCCCTTATTCTCCAGTTCCCATTTAGCTGGCTATGGGAAAGGAAGCCACCCCGAGCAATATCACTAGCAGATCTGAGAAACATATGCAGAAGTTTCAGCTTCCTGACTCGTGTGGTGAAAGCCAGTGGGTACAGAGCTATTAGAAGGAATTCCTTAGTAAAAAAGGTAAGACTGTAGGTTTGACTTAGAGTCTGCATTAGTCAGGGTTCTCCAGAGAAACAAAATGAATAGGATGTGTATATATACATACAGAAAGAGATTTATGCTAAGTCACTGGCTCCTGTGATTGTAGAAGCTTGGCCAGTCCAAAATCTGACAGGGGAGGCTAGTGGGCTAGAGGCTCAGGAAAAAGTTGTTCTTTGAGTCCAAAGACAGTCTGTTGTAGAACCAGGAAGAGCCCAAATTGCAGATAAAGTCTATAGGTTGTCTGCTGGCTGCATTTCCCCTTTGCTCAGGAAAGGGTCAGCCTTTTGTTCTGTTCAGGCTGTCAGCTGATTGGATGAAGTCTACACATATTATTGTAGGGCAACCTGCTTTACTCTCAGTCCACCGATTTAAATGTAAATATTATCTGAAAATACTTTCACAGAAACATCCAGAGTATTTGTTCAAATAACTGGGCACCATGACCCAGCTAAGTTGGTGTACAAATTTATCATAGAGACCCTTTGGGATTTTCTACAGGCAGGAAATCCTTTTAGATCTGTGCTGTCCAATATGATGACCATGATATTGGTAGATTATTTCCAAAGTCAAAAGCTAAATTAGAAAAAAAATTTTCTTTATAAACTCAAGAAGCACTTAGGAAATACCTATCCTCTTTTAATATAAGTCTGCTTCCTCAGATGAAGTCTTCAGGAGGGCTAAGGAACTGGTCACCACCCAACACATATTTATAGCTATTGTTCTGGTGTATTAGTTTGCATTTCATATTAGTGGCCATGGTACTGTGTACAAGGGGATCTAGGTGAGTAAACATCTAGACCCAGAGTCTTGCCTTTGGTCAAAGCATCAAGTATTTAAGGTGCAGCTACTTTTTGTTATATGGCTAGGATTGTAGACTCTTTGAGCACAGTGGCTATGCACAATTTAAAATACATTGGAATATGTTTGAAAGTAAAACAAGCTAGCCCTAGGTGAAATTGTGAAATAGATAAAGTTTGGCTATTAGTGTTTTAGGCTTCATACCTTGTCTTTGACCTTTCCCTTCTCAAAAGTTAAACTCAGGTGTGTTGGAGGAAAAGTGAGTGCTGGAATCATTTCCCGTGCTTGCTTTGTCCCAGGTCACTGAGGGACGTGTAGTCCAGAAAGCTGGTGGGCTGTGGAGCGTGTGGGATGGCCAAGCACACTGCGACACGTGCATGTGCGTGTGCTTACAAAGTAACCCTGAGTGGAGACTGAGAAGGCTGAGAGGAGGATAGAGCTCCAGGATAGGAAGCACCTCCAGCCAGGTTGTCCCTTAGGAAAAGGGGGCCTGGCCCAGGAAAGTTGAACAAAAAAATACAAAGACTATACAAACAACAATCAACATCTAGCCTCACCTCCAGTAGAATAAGCTCATTTAACCATAGGTATCTTTTGTGTCATTTCTAGAAAGTGAACCATTTTAACCACAGACTTATTTCTGTCCTAACCTCAAGATCCTGAGCTCAGGTTTTATAATCAGCTGACCCTTCTCTTCCACTCCCCTCTGTTCATTGCAGCCACCATGTGACCCTGGGTGCTGGGAACTCCTGCTGTGCCCTGTCACCTCTGGTCAGCCCTGTTTCTGGCTCAGCTCCTCTGTGGAATGCTCACGTTTGCTCTGTCTTCCTGGTCTAGTCATTCACTGCCTCATGGTTTTGAGTTCTACTCTTTCAATGTTTACATCCCCCAAACCTGGAGTTGTTATTCTTTGTGTTTGAGAACAGCTGGATATATTAATACTTCTCCACATGCAGCTGGGATTGGGATGGGGACAAGGGATGGAAAGGAAGAAAACTGGTGAGTGGGACAAATGGATAAAGCACAAGAAATGTAGGCTACTGGGTAGCAAATGCAATATATTTGTCTTTTAGTTATGTGTGTATATTAAATTATAAAAGACTAACCTATATGTATTATTTATAGATACTAATAACTAAAAGTATAGCAAAGGGAAAGAAAAAAACTTCAAAAAAGATTTTTTTTTGAGACAGAGTCTCACTCTTGTTGCCCCAGCTAGAGTGCCATGGCATCAGCCTAGCTCACAGCAACCTCAAACTCCTGGGCTCAAGCCATCCTCCTGCCTCAGCCTCCCAAGTAGCTGGGACTACAGGCATGTGCCACCATGCCCAGCTAATTTTTTCTATATATTTTTAGTTGGCCAATTAATTTCTTTCTATTTATAGTAGAGACGAGGTCTCCCTCTTGCTCAGGGTGGTCTCGAACTTCTGAGCTGAAACAATCCACCTGCCTCGGCCTCCCAGAGTGCTAGGATTAGCACCACGCCACCGCAATTAGCCACTGAGCCTGGCCTAAAAATTTTTTGATTTCTTATAAAACAATTAATTACATAAATACCAGATTGCTTATGCCCTTCTATTATTTTTATTTTTTAAATTTTTATTTTTAATTGATGAATAATAATTGCATATATTTATGGGGTGCGATGCACTGTTTTGATACAGGTATACATTGTAGAATGATGAAATCAGTGTAATTAGCATAACCATCACCTCATCTATTTATCATTTCTTTATTTTAGGGGGCAGTGCAGGGGTTCTTGGAGGAGGGATTGCTGGTTTTAGGGGAGAGCATCAGGAAGTTTTTTTGGAGTCTATAGGAGGGACTGAAGGGTTGAGAATGAGAGAGGGAAGGATCTTCCACAAGGGATTGGCCTCAGAGATGAAGATTTTAAAAATTTTAGAGCTGAATTCCAGAATTTGGGGGCTGAGGCTTGGGTTTGAAAGAACCAGGGCTAAAATTTGAAACAATGGGAACAGAGCTTGGGGCTGACTCATAGTATTTGAGGGTTAACGGTGTCGGGGTCCTTAAATTTGGAACCAGATTTGTGGTATGGGGCTGGTTTGGGTTAGGGTGTGTTGGGAGACGTAGGGGGGAAATTTAATAGGAGTTAACTCATCCTCCAGGGCTAGATTTGGAAACTCATGGGTTAATTTGGGGATATGAAGGCTCAGTCCTAGAGTGAGGGGCCTAAAGGGTAAGACTTAGGGGCCCAGGGCTAAAGATTTGGGGAACTTAATTAAGCTCTTGTTTCCCGTCCCATCCCAGGCCCAAGTTTGGAAACCTTGAGCTGACCTTTGAGTCAGAAGTTAAGAGGTCAAAAAAGAAAACCTGGGAGGGAAAATGGCCTAGTTGTGGAGAAGGTCCTAGAATCACGGAGCAATAGGAAAAGGCTGTGGGTTGGAGAAGACTCAGGATTGGAGGCTGGAGGGGGCCGAGATCAATGCTGGAAAGGAGGGACAGGAGTCAGGAAGTAAAACACGCCTCTCTCTCTCACAAAACAATTATGCTTTGTGGTTGGTAGATAGTCTTTTACCATAAAAACCAGGTATATCACTCAATATCTGTCTTTATCTCTGTAGGTTTTATTTGGCTAATACAAAACTGGTTTTTTTTTCAAGTTCTTGAAGGTAGGACTGAATAAAATTGTTAATATACACTTATGCTTCTTTGTTTTTTGCTTATCTGTTCCAAACTTAAGAAATTAAAGGATATTGCCTTATGTGTCTCTGTGCTAAGTCTAGAGCTGTTTTGTTAAATACTAGTGGGGAAGGAAGCTCAAAGGGAATGAATGGTGTTTGCAAAATAAACAGCTAGGTTAAAAAGAGAGTGGAAGGTTAAAGAGGGCTGAAAAGAAGGAAGAATAAATGAGGTGGGAGGGTCCTCTGGGAACTGATGACTGGGACAGATGCCTGCAGCGTCGGGGTCAGGAGAGGCATCTCAGTCCTTATTTTCAGGGAGGACTCAAAGGACCAAGAGACAATTGCTGCCTCCTCTGCTGGTCAGAAAAGGTCATGAAAAGCTCATCCTAAATCAAAGATGAGAATATGTAAAATTCCAAAAGATTATGAACTTCTTGGCTAGCTGATGGAATAAGAAGAATCTGCACTGGACACAGAATGGAGTTCAGTGATTGGGCAGAGGTATTTAGAACTAAGTGGTATTTAAGTAACAGTAATTAGTAATTGCTGCTATTTTTAAAGAGCTTATAATGTGTCAGGCACTGTTTTAAGATCTTTACCTGCATCTTTTCCTTTAATTCACTTAGTTACCCAAAGAGATGGCTCACAAAGATGAAGTAACTTGCCCAAGGTTAACTGGCCCATCCAGGAAGAAGTAGAACTGGGAGTTGACCCAGGAAGGTTGACCCTAGAGGCTGATGTTCTTAAGAACTATGCTGTACAGCATCCCTAGGAAAATTTGGGTCTCTATCTTTTCTATGTGTGCTCAGTGTAGTGTCCCAGGACTTTGTCACAGATGATTGTCAAGCTATAATAGTAAAATGCACACATATTAGATGACATAAGTGATCTGAAAAAGTTAAAGATAAAATGGATCTCATGGCAGAGCTGTGCAAAAATCTAATTGGAGAAATTAGGGCATAATAACTGAATGTGAAAGCTATTTCTAAACTGGTTCATGTATTAATAAATCTGTATCCAGAATATCCCAACAGGCTGGGTGAGGTGGCTAGCATCTATAATCCCAGCTAGTTGGGAGGATGAGGTGGGAGGATCGCTTGGGGCCAGGAGTTCAATTCCAGCCTGGGCAACATAGTAAGATCCCCTCTCTAAAAGTATTTTTAAAAAATTGGCCACCAGGCATGGTGGCGAGGACCTGTAGTCCCAGCTACTTGTCAGGTTTATTCCAAGATCATGCCACTGCCTCCAGCCTGGGTGACAGAGCAAGACCTCATCTCTAAATTAAAAAAAAAAAAAAAAAAGAATATCCCAACAGAATGGTGGCTGGCCTAAAGTCCAGAAAAAGGACCACTCTAAAAAGAAATGGCTGTGTTTTTTGCTGCCCTTCCCTGGGAAGAGTATGGCAGAGATTGGTTTTTCACCTAACCAATTTCCTCTTCTTGGGCATACAGCTAGACTATATTTCCCAGTCTCACTTGGAGTTTGGTGTCCATGTGACTGAATTCTCTCTAATGGGCAGGAGGTGATGTGAGCCACTTC